TCCAGTTGGCCTCTTAAATGGTTCTATTCTACACCAAGAAAATTGTTCCATTAAATTAACTGAGAATACTAGATCAATACAAATTTAGGATATGAGAAATCTTTCCTGTACCTTTTTCCTGGAATCAATAAAATTCCATTGAGTCAAGAGAAAAATGTTCGCATAATTTCTTTGCATTGAATCAACACAATAACCGTTTTCTGGTTTTAGGTGCAAGGTATCCTCTCATAAAAAGACTGATAATCTTTAGTGGCGTCTTACCCACTGCCGTTTTCTCGGACTGCTGTTGCTGGGCGATACTGCTGAGCAATGCCGACAGAAACAATAATAATGGGCTCGTAGCAGGACACGTATTGGCGGTTGTCACCACGGCCACTGATGGCATAAAAAAATTACCACTCGAAGCCATGACGTTGCAAACCTCGGTATCTGCACAGAATAAATGTTTGGTGAAAGGTACGCACGTTTTATTCACAGACGTAAACACTAAGTGGGAAGTGGAATTGTGTACGTAGGTTATCTATGCGCCCTTGTCTCGGTCAAGAAGCAAATAAACCGAGAGTTGCCCAACTTGAGATAAATGTGTACACCGGATTACCAAATAGTAATGACTACCATTGATTACTGGGGATTACCAAAGATTACCAATGATTACAAGGTCCGGATTTACCTAAACACTTCACGCGAAAGTGCCTTTTTTTTGTCCCAAGAAAGATGCACATCTTTACCAGTGTTGCAACTTTGAAGATTAGGTGTTACAAATTTGTATCAGTGGACACATTATTTCCATAAGAAAGAGGAAATTTGATCATTTCCAACATTCACGTCTCCATTTAGTTGAAATGTGCATAAAAATGCATGTCGTTTTCAAAAAAACTTGTCATTAAAAGTCCATGAGGACACTGGTGATTACTGGTGATGACCAAATCTGTGTACACATAATTACCTCAGTTGGGCAACCCTCGAAATAAACCCACTCACGCAAGAACTTGTGCTCTCGTTTTCTCGGTGTCTAAATGTAGGCACGTCTTGAGTAACGTCAGCTGTCTCCTATTACCTAGTCACCACGAGACGGGCGATCGTATAGGTTCTTAAAAAGCACACAGCGCCCAAAAAATCCATTGACGCGCACCTTAAATATGTTGCGCCGAGGGTCCCACAATCTGTAACCATAGAGTCGTAAAACACATTATGGACAGTGCTCACGCTTCACACGACCCTGAGGCAAATCACGTTTTCGTGCAACGTTTCGAAGTAGCATAAGGGAGACCTGGGCTACTTGACCACTGGGGCTACTTGAACACCCCTCCCTTTTGAAAGAACCGCGTGCCATACGGCAAATTCGGGCTTGACCCCTTCTAGATATTCAACTGCTCATATAATTTCTACAAGATGGTGGTAGTGTTGTCATTCCCTGTTGCGCAGCAGAACAGCGACGCAGCTAGGCTTCAAAACTGGGGTGAGATGTAATATTTGGTAG